CCTCTCCCTCTCCCTCTACCTCTCCCTCTGTTTAGCCCGCTCCCTCTCCATCTATCTCGCCCTCTCCCTCTCCCTCTACCTCTCCCTCTGTTTAGCCCGCTCCCTCTCCATCTATCTCGCCCTCTCCCTCTCCCTCTACCTCTCCCTCTGTTTAGCCCGCTCCCTCTCCATCTATTTAGCCCTCTCCCTCTCCCTCTCCCCTCTCTATCTTGTTTTTACTCTAACCCATCTCTTTCTCTCTAACTCTCCTTTTACTAGTGTCCTATTCTTACTCTGTAGACTATGTCTCTATTTGGTTTCCCTATCGCTCCGTCTGCTACCACGCTATACCTTATTAAGTGGCTTCCTTGTTGCTAGGCTTTCATCCTCCTGTAGTCACGATCAACGTCTGTCGTCTCAATGCTACATGCATACCTTCTCGTTTTATACGGCTCTCACACCCGCCTCCTCTGCTTTTGCTACTGGCCTTGTCTGCTCCCAGTCTCACCTCCTTCGCGCCTCCCCTACCTCACTGCTCCCTGCCCACCTTGCTCAGTGCCGCCGATCTCACCCTGTTACACAGCCTCCGCTTTTCTGTTTCTTCCCGCCCAGCCTGTTTCCCGCGTGCTCCATTCACCTGATCTCTTGCTGCCTACATAGCTGTCGCTTGCATGCGTTTCCCCGTCTATTGTTGTGTGCGTTTATCCCCCGCTTGCCGCCCCGTCCCCGGGGGTGTCTCGCGTACGCTCAGCTCCCACTGCCACTCTTGTCAATTAAGATCGCCATGTTAGCTTCGCCTGCAAGGTGGCCTCATAACGCTGCATCGCATGTATGTAGATCGTCTCTGATGAGTGTGTGAGTGTGTGTGTGACTCAGACTGTACTCTATTCGCGCGCTATAAGGGCAATTTAGATCTTCATACACTGTAAATCGTATTAAAACTGTCCTTCTATGCACGCGTTCTCGTGCGCGGGGAGTGAAATCAATAGGCCGGCTATTGAAAACGCATTTGTCACATTCATAATTCATGATCGGAGAATCCAAAACTAGAAATCCACGAGTTGCATTAACGGCGCGTTGTCGTCGTTGTCGTCGTCGCGGTGCTTGCATGCGCGGGGCGAGCGCGGTAATGCACGTTCTCTCACAATGCTAGTGCCGGTGACCCTTTCCCCTTGCATGCACGCGGTATTGCGACTCATCCGCTCAGGCTATTACTTTGAAGTCTTCGTAATGCAATCCGCGTATACGCACAGACAGACACACGCATTCGGACGTGCAGGCAGCTATATGCAGGTGCTCACACACAGACCTTCATGCACCTTCAGTTACACGCGCACGCACGCACGCACGCACGCACGCACGCACCACACAGTATACTTACACGCACACGCACGCGCGCACGTGCCACACAGTATACTTACACGCACACGCACGCGCGCACGTGCCACACAGTATACTTTCACAGTATACTTACACGCACACGCACGCGCGCACGTGCCACACAGTATACTTACACGCACATGCACGCGCGCACGTGCCACACAGTATACTTACAGGCATACAAACACGCACGCATGGACGCACCCATATATGCCCGCACGCGTACAAACACATTTATACTCACACGTAAATATATACATTAATACAACATGCATAGGGTTGGGATCGAATTACTGTTTTGGGAACGTTCAGTAATAGATAAATAGATTATTAATCTCCAGATGCCTAATCTTTAGTCGGGCCGTATTTATGCTAAACATTGTACCCTTAACCTTAATAGTACCCTTAATGTAATAGCTTTTATTCGTCTATCAACGTTTTTGCACAAATGTTTCTCCATTTTTACAGCTATTTTATAGATGGGTTTAAGACCTCTGTTGACAAAATAGATCCATTTGACTGGTTTTCGATAAAAGCTTCTTGTAATGCATTTTTATTTGTTTCGCTGATGCGCGCATATCAATAAAGCTGTCACCAGGCCCCCTATCAGCTCGGCAGAATGAATGTCTGAACTTTTGATGTGTAATTTAGTTTCTGTGGGTTGAATGCGGAGCAGGCGAACACTTGCATATTCTAAGATGCCATCAGTTAGAGAGTCTTGAGCGTGGAGCGTGATGCGTGATGCATACGTGCCCAGGACATTAAGCCCATCCGAATGTGTCGCACATTTCATGTGCGGCCATCAATTATTAAAAGTGTTGCCATGGAAACTGCAAATTAATGCTCGCAAATCTATGGAGAAATACGAGAAAAAGCGCAAATTAGATGAAATTATATCGAGCCGATGGAAAAATGGCCCGCTGAGCAAAACAAAGACAGTTGGGCCAATGCGTACATGATTGTATTTGTTCACAATCAGCTCTGATTATGTCTAACAACGTAACAAATTGCACACGCATAGAATCTGTTTTGAATACAATGCTGCGCCTGTAATGCAGGTGTGTAAATTTGCCAAACCCTATAGCTAGTTTGGTGTCCGTCTGTAGGTAAATTAGAATCGTTATTCTGAACCTGTCAGCCGGTTTTGAAGCCTTTACACGCAAATGTCAGTCAGAGAGAATTCCTCGAAAACGCTGCCATGTCTAAGATAGTGCATCGATTAACGAGACGGACGCACGCAGCTAGAATTCGTGGGCAGATGTTTCGGCACTATCCTGTCTTCTGCTTGCTCTAGCAAAATGCGTGGATAAACGTGTGGCATTTCGTTAGGGCTTCTTTCTCCAAAACGTAGCGATGCGCCCATTTCGAATGAAAGCGTCGTCGAATTATATTTAGAAAAACGACGCTGCATAAAGGCATTTCGCAGAACTATCATGTTTATCTAAATATTTTATCTTGCCCATTTGCAGAAAGCACAAAGGAAATTCGAACGAGTTCGGCGGAATGGCGGACGAGTGTGTGTGGGAGCCGAGGGGCGAGCGCGACGAACCGCTGGCTGTCAGTGAACGCGAGGGTGAACAGGCGTCCCTCGGCGCGTCGCGCGCCGGCGACGACACTGTGGACTCCAACGACGTATCAGTCGGAGAGGAAGCCATGGAGGAGGAGCCAGTCGCGGAGGAGGAGCCAGCCGCGAAGGATGAGTCGGCCGTAAAGGAGGAGCCGGTCATAAAGGAGGAGCCGGCCTCGAAGGAGGAGTCAGCCGCGAAGGAGGAGTCGGCCGTGGAGGAGGAGCCGGTCATAAAGGAGGAGCCATCCGTAAAGGAGGAGCTGGCCTCGAAGGAGGAGTCTGCCGCAAAGGAGGAGCTGGCCTCGAAGGAGGAGTCGGCCGTGGAGGAGGAGCCATCCGTAAAGGAGGAGCTGGCATCGAAGGAGGAGTCTGCCGCAAAGGAGGAGTCGGCCGCGAAGGAGGAGTCGGCCGTGGAGGAGGAGCCATCCGTAAAGGAGTCGCCGTCCGTAAAGGAGGAGCTGGCATCGAAGGAGGAGCAGGCGGTCGCGCGGCCCAAGTTCCTCGAGGTGTCGCGTACGTTCCTCGCCGACGGCGCCACCTGGGAGCGGCTGCGGCTGCGGCTCGGCCGCGCGACGCGGGTCGGCGACGCCGTCGTCGTGACAACGACGTGCTACGACACGGCGTCACGCGAGCTCGCGCGCCGCGGCTGCTGCCTGCGCCAGCGCGGCGGCCACTGGTCGCTGACGTGCCCCGCGTGCGGCGGCGGCGACGGCGACGACGGCGACACGCTGCAGCTGTTCTGCAAGGAGTCGCACATCCTCGAGCAGCTTGCCGCGGCCGGCGTCGCCGGCGTCTCGGAGAAGGATCTGCAGCTGGAGGGCATCGAGGCGTCGCTGCGCGAGGTGTCGCGCGCGGACGAGACGAGCGAGACGTATCGGCTCGACGATGGCTTCCTTGTGAGGCTGATGACGACCGGCGGGAGCAGGCACGCGGTGCGTGAGCGCGGGGGGCAGGGGCAGGGTGCGTGAG